TCTAAGGACAGTCAACAATTTGGGGAAGATCAATAATAACATTTGGTAGCAAAGGAAAGTCTCTTCAAGGGAATGTCACTCTGCAAGAAACACACCTGGTTTATTCATCCACCGTGTATGGTAGAATGTTGCCCCAGGGGCAATGATATTGTAAAGTTCATCACTGGATGAAGCTCTTAGATTACTTGCAAAGTTGGTAGCTATCTCTTTGGCATCCTCCAGTTCTGTCAAATTTCCAAACCTTTTGTAAGCCACACCTTCAGGAACATTTGAGTTCGAGGTTCAAGGACTCACCAGTTGTGGATACAAAAGAAACAATTAAAGAACAAAAGAGTGCAATTGGAAGTAATGTTATCATCATTTTGAGGGCAAGGCTAGAATGAATATTCTAAAGTATGAATATATGTTCTATGAGAAGACTTTGGTACAGATGATGAGATATGAAAGCATTGGATGGGTAAAGGTAGACCATTTTATAGTGAAATTCAAAAAATGTTATGTGTCTTGAGCCTTTTCAAATGAGTAAAGATTTGAATCCTGTCTCGTATGAAGTTTGTGTCACTTAGAGCATCCACAACGGTGCTCGTAAAATGCGGGCTCTCGACAATACAGGCCATGAAAACGCCAAAAACCGGCGCAGCGGACCTCGCAAAATGCGAGGTGGGACGTCGAGAGTCTCCAAATTTCCGTCAAGAGTCTCCAAATAGGGGCACGATAGAGACTCTCGACATCACGTGCACCCCTATATGTGTGAAGTCAAGTACGTATGTGTTTGAGTACAAGCATACAAACAGACTTCAATCGGGGGATCTACGTATATTCAAGTGCTCTGCTGTGCAGACACGCTTTTTTGACCCCCTACATTTGAGAATTTGCTTTGGGGGGTCTGTTTGGGAGCCCGCATTTTACGAGCACTGTTGGAGATGCTCTTATTATTGCTGCGAAACCGATGTCATTTATTAGATTCCGAATGGGACAAGAGATCAAAACAACTCCACAAGAATTTTTTTCATTCTCAATTGGCGAGTATGTATGTAGGCAAAATAATAGCAGACAAAGCCTTGGCAACTGAGCAAAAAAAATTGTAAGACTTGAGCTGCACTGAAATAGAATTGATGAACACGGGACTCGTAGAGATACATATCTAGACACTGGAGATCTGGCACGAAAGGGTCAGCATGCCAGTGACATCTTGCAAGTCTGTTTTGAAGACACGCATGGAGGCCGTGGCAGTGGTCGCTACTGAGGGCCGCGATCGAAAACGCAAATTCCGACTATGGGACCCTGATGATAGAGATGGATCTAAAAGAAGTTTGTCTCAGCGCGATTGCCTCAATGTCATATTGTGGATAAACTCGATCGATTCAAAGCTCGTTATTGGACAAGGTTCTGTACGTCTGCTTGTTCAACCCTCCTACAGTATCCTCAAGCTGATCATCATATACAGTCATTTAAGAAAAGCTTGCCCCAAAATCCCCGCCAATTCCCTCGAGTTTTGCGGGCAATTTGGGGCAAGCTTCTCTTAAATGCCTGTATCCACCTTTTGTCGCGTGGTCCGCTACAAGCCGGAGACTTCTGGAGGCTGTGTCTGCCGATGGTTGCGATCGGGAACCCCAATCGCGTCAATGAAGAACACCGGGTTAAAAATAGACCTGCAAAGATCTCATTTCAGCGTGATGGCCTCAGTTGACAAACAAACCAAATCCGAGTGAGATGAATCACACACGTCCCCATCCGTCTGCTGATCTAGTCAAATGCTTGATGAAATGTGCCATGTACCGAGTAAAAAAACGAATTGTTGTTGATTTCTGGGCGGTCGTTTCATGCCCATACAATACGGGAAACACTCGATCAACCCGGAGTGCAAACCAATTCTATGAATATCTACAAGTATGCAATTAGAGCATCCACTATGGTGGAAGGGTTTTATCGTAAATTTCGCGGTCCCGACCGCGAAATTTGATCATGCGTGTTTTACCTAAGTTGGTAACCGCATGAAATCGACTATGGGATGATGTTAGGTGTGATTTATCGTAGATAAATCACTGTGAATCAATCAGATCCACAGTGGTTTGATTTTGGAACGAGTTAAATAATTAAACTCCCAAAAACCGCCGGTCTCCTTCCAATGCCTACCTATGCAAGACAACAAATCAATGCTCTTTTCGAGTCTATGAACGATGATGAAGAAGAACAAGACCATGATGAAATGATATTCAACTTCCTGTTTGACCGCCCTCCTACGCCTCCTCTAGAAGCCCACACTCGCATTCACATAGATCGAGACCGCGCTCGACGTGCTCAGCAACTGTTCGATGACTACTTTGCACCTAATGCTAGATACGAATCCAAGTTTGAACGTCGATTCCGAATGAGCAAAGACCTGTGTTTAAGAATAATCGAAGATCTACAATTACATGACCGATTCTGGGTTCAAAAACCGGATGCGTGTGGAGTGATGGGACTCACGGTGTATCAGAAGGTTGTCTGCGCTT